CGAGGACCTTTTTATTTAGAGTTTAGAATAGGTATAGATCCTCGTTCGTAAGCGATAATTTAAAGGATCTAAGCGTTATTAAGAGCTCTTTATATTAAAATAGAGGAGCGTTACGAGCCCTATAAAGGGCTCGTTCGAGTTTAATATATTTACCCGATTACTTAAAGCCGTTTAGAAGTTCGTATATAATTAGAGGGTCGTTTAGTTTTCGTATTATATTTAAAAACGTATTTATAATATTATATTAATAGACCTCTAAATTAAATTAAGTAGCGATAGTTATAGCTATTTTAAAAGTCTTAGCAATAAAGGTAGCTATATACGTCTTTTTTAAAGGGTATTGCTCTTAAAGATCCCCTTTAATATATATCCTCGCTTTATAGTAATCAAGGTAATAACCCTCGTTAAATTTATAGTTAAATACCTATTTAAGTAGTATCGGCTTTTTTTAAACCGTCGCTCGATTAACAACTTTCTAAATATTTATTTCCTTTAGCTTCGTAATCTCTATATAAGCCGCTTTTATAAAGCGAGTTTTAAGGGGCTTAAATAGTTTAAAAACGTTTTTCTACGTCTTTAAAAAAAATATAAGGTTATTTATATATATTCTTTTACTAAGAACTACGGTCGGTAGAACGTACTTTGTTTTATTAATTATAATATAAATATAGTAATAGAGCGTTCGATATCCCTAAGTCGCTTCGTTAATCGCTTTTTATTAATTAAATATATACGTATTAAAAAAGGGGTCCTAGTTTCGTTCTATATAAAGAGAGAACGAATATTACCCGAATCGCTCTTTATAATTTAGGTCTTAAATAACTACTTTTAGTAGTTAATTTCTTAGCCTCCGGCTTTATTTAATATATTTATTATTTTTATAATTATTAAAAATAACCGTTTTAGAATTTTTAGCTAGGTCGTTTACCTCTTTAACTTTTTAATATAGGCTCGTTAACTAAGTAGGATTATTAGGGTCTAGTTAAGTAGAAAGGTCTTTTTTATAGAAGTATATAAGAGTTACTTTTTCTATTTATATATATATTACGTTTTTAACCCTTTTAATAAAAAGGTCGGCTTCCTTTACAGCCTCGTTTATAACCTCAGTTAGCTATGTAAAGGCCGGGCCTAGTTTTAGACTTTAAAGTTTAAAAGTTAGCTCGGGGGTAAATAATTACCCGCTTCGTCCGCTTAAAAATAAACTAAACTTTTTTATAGTTTAGTTTATTTTTTATAAAATAAGCGTAAATAGTAATAGGTATTTTTAGTTTATTATTAACGAGGCTTTTTTTTTATTTATAACTCCGAATAATTAGAGCTTAGGATCAATAGTCGTAAGCGGCTATTAGATTTTATTTACTATAAACTTTAATTTAAATAATCGGATTATAGCCTTCGCGTCGTTCTTTAAATAGAAAATAGTTTTATTAAACGTTACGTTATATATAATAATAACCTTTAAAAATAAAGGGATCTAGATTTTATATAAATTATAAGCGTTCGTTATATATTTTATAAAATATCTAATATAACCCCTTTACTCTACTTTAAAACGTCTTTTATTAATTCCTTTTTTACGGTCCCTTTTAAAAAGGTACGCTCGGTAGCTATATATATACGTCTATTTTTAATAAAGACATAAATTGCGGGCGAGCCTCGGCGTGTTTATTAATTATTATTACCTAAAGTAGTAGTTAAACTAAATTTCTTTAATTTAAACTAGCGAGAGCTAGTTAATACGTTATCTCGGGTTAATATTATATAAGTAAGCGGCTATTAATATAGCTTTTATTTAAAGTTCGTTTAGTAAGCCGGCTATAAATATTATATTAATTACTTTATTAATAATTTTTTAGTTAGCTCGCTCTTTATTTCTATTTAGCTCTTTTATATATAGAGGGGTAGTCTTTAATTCGATTCCGAGCTCCTTTATTTAGGTTTAAAAACGAGTCTCGCCGTTAATTACGATTACTATACGTTCTACGTTTTATTAAATTTTATAAATAATAAGACTTTTCTAAATATATACTTATCGCTCGAAAAGGTATAAAACCTTAAATATTAAGTTATAGGTCTTTATAACTTTTAAGAATATAAAGATCCTACCCGAGTACTTATTTTTAATTAGTATAAGCTATTTATTTTATTTATAAATAGGTAAGTAGTCGAATAGGTCTTAAGCAATTTTAAAATACGGCCTAATAGCTCTTCGTTTTAAAATACGTTTTAAAATAACCTATTTTATATAAGTAGTTATATAGTATTAATATTTTAAATAACTCGGTCCCTTAATTTTTACTCCCCGAGCGGCTAGTACGAGCTTTTTAAATATTATTAGTGCAAAATATTTAGATTAGAAGTATTAAAGCTACGTAAAGTCTAACCGGTCGCCCTTTATTTAATATAAAGAACGAGGTACGTATTAGCCTTTAATAAAAATTATATTTATTAGCGAAGACTAACTTCTAAGTAGAGAATAGGACGAATAGGGCTTATATTTTAAAAAAACTAAGTTAACTTTTTTAACGAGCTACTTAACTACGACGTTATTAAATTAATTACCGAAGCGAAGGGTATAATTAAAATTAAAATACTAAATACCCGTTTTTCGAAATAAAGCTTTTAATACGATATTAACGTAAAAGTTCTTAACGAGGCCGATATTATAAAGGGTTAGATTTTTAATTCTAAGTCTTTTTAGTCTTATAAATATATTTTAAATAATCCTCGTTCTATAAATAAATATTAAGTAAAACGCCGTTCCTAAATCTATATTCTCGGTTTTATTATATTATTAGATTAATCCTAGCTTTAAAAGTAATTAGTTATTAACGAAGTAGACGGTACTATAGTTATTTATAACTATATATTTAAAAAAGAGGTGTAGACCCGTTAAAGGAATTAAAAAGATAATAAGATTACTATTCTAATCCTCTTTCGTTTTTAACTCGGGTAATAGAGCGACGTTAATAATTATAGCTACGACGTTTAAAAGGTAAAACGCTTTAAAATCCTATTTATTTACCGGCTTCCTTTACTTTCTTAGTTTTTTACCTTTTTTTTAGTTACTATTAGAGGATTTACTAGGGGCCCTCGCTCGTATTTATTTTTTATAAACGAGGTCGGTACGAAAATCGATATATTTATTAATATTTAAACGGGAAATAATCTTATTAACCTTAGCTCCGTCTAGCTAGATATGTTCTTACTTCGTCTTTTTTATAAAAGCGTACTCTACTTTTACGTAGTCTATTAGTTTTTAATAATAGGACCCTTTATAGGGGTAGTCTATAAACGAGTTAGGCTTGCCCTCGCTCTACTTAAACGAGTCTAAACGACCTATAAATATTACGAAAATTATAAGGTTTTTTTTATAACTTTTATTATATACCGCCTCTTTATATAAGGGATTATTAAATATTTTAATATAATAGCCTATATTAAATACGACTTCGCCTCTTTACTCTATTTTTATAATATTAATAAGCTCTTAATTTAATTAATTTAAAATAAAGCAATGTGCAGTTATATAAAGAAAAGATTTAGAAACGAGGGTCCTTTAAACTTTAAATAGCTTAAGTTATATTATATAGCAATAGGCGTAATAAAAGTCTTTAATCTAAATTATTAAATTAATATTAGAGTTCGCTTTATTTATAACTATATTAAATTCCTTTTAAGCGATTATAAACGAACTTAAGTTACTCAGAGCGTGCTTTTATTTAAAAACCCGGATTATTATATAAAGAGAGTAGTTTAACGAATTAATAAGTTCTTTTTTTACGTTCTTTAGGATATCCTAGGTAATAGAGTTAGTAATTTAGCGATTTATTAACTTATATAATTTCTTTTTTTATAACTAGGAGATCGTTTTAAATACCGTTTACTAAATAAAGGAAGCATATTTTTTTAAAAAGCGCGCTTAGTTAACCGTAATTAGCTTAGGTTTCGTTAAAAGAATTAGTTATTTTACGAGTTTATATCGAAATACGAGTTCGGCCCTAGCTATATCTTTAAAGGCATTTTACTAAATATATTAATCGAGTTATCAATTATATTTTACTAAGGCCGCTCTATAAACTTATTTTTAAGTAGCATTTCGTATCTTAACGTATTCCTTAATTAATAAAATCGATTTAGTAAAAAATAAAGGATTTAAAGGCGACTTCGTATTATTTAGATCTAATAAGTCCTAGACGTTTTTTAAGCAGGCCTCGACTCGTAGAGCGAGGTATTACTTTAGCTAGTTATATTAATAATTAAGTTTATATTTAACTATATTAAATATCTTTTTAGAAAATATAGTCGTTTAGAAACGGGTTTTATAAACGTAATAGGGGTTAAAATTAAGTATAAGAAAGGATATAATAAATCGTAGCCTTTAAAAAGTAACTTTTTAATAAAGGTTTAGGGTCTAAGTTAGAGCTAGGCTTATAATTATTATATAATTACGATAGGGGTATCGACGTTAAATATAGAGAACGGTTATTTATTAGAAATAAGAAATAAATACGAAGCTCGTTTTAAAATAGAGGGTACGAGCGAGTATAGAGCTCGGTGATTATATAACCGCGGTTACGTGACATGCGGTGAGGCCACTGATGGTTAAAGCCATCACGACACATCAATAGTCGCAGGTCGTCTTCTTGTGGCAATATCGGAGTTGAATTCAGGTCTAATTCGACCGCTGAATAGCGTCGGGGAAAGAACGGCGCAGTCATATTTGAGCCGGCCGTTAGCACAGTGATTCAACTTATTCCCGTTGATCTCGCGCAGACGCACTTATATACCCAGTCTCCGTCACCACCCGCCCTCTTACTTTTATGTAAACCCTACAATTACGTCTTCATCACCACTCAATGTAGGGTAGGCAGAAACTCAAGTAGTGTGATATCCAATGATTTACACTTCCCACCTGCCTGGATAGAACGTCGTAGCCGATAGGTGTGGGATCAAATGTCCGTAGTCTGTTTTCTAGATAAGAGCTAGTGTACATGTGACTATGAAGGCGCTCAATCTCTGACGTAGAGTATAGGGGGTAGACGCAAGGGAGATGGGCTGCGAAACGGCTCCTGCACAACAGCGTGGGCGATCTCAAAATCTCATCCGAGCTTGTGCACGGAAATTCGACGAACTCTAGGCAAACTGACAGCCCGGACCCACACGGAACTCAATCTCATAGCTGAAATTTGACCAGATGAAATCCGTTGTTCCCCGCGACTAGAGTCTGGGTAAGCTCGCGAGGGATCAGTCGTCAATTTCTACATTAGTCACATGTCGTATTTGCGGAATGAGAAAACTAAGGTGGGTTGTAAGGCGACCCAAAGTAAAAAATTTTGGTCTTCTTTTCTTTTTGGATCGAGGTCGCATACGATCTCGTAGTCAGCCCAAATACAACGTTCTGCAAAAGCAGGCTGCGGGACGGGCAGGGCGAAGGCAGGCAGGCAGAAACAGCGAGCAAGGGGAGTAGAGGTAGCATTGAGGAGCATGGTGTCTTACCGAATAGTTGCTTCTTTGGCTACCTAGTCGGTTCCATCAAACCCCGCCAGTTACAACGGCGATTGGCCCATACATCCGGAGCGAGAAAAGTTATTGCAGGGTGCACCTGAGCGACCGGCAGCGTTGTTCATTGTCACTGACACACGACTGGAACCAATGGGGGTATGGAGACATTGTCGGAACTCACATCTCAGACAATTACCGGATCGAGTGGAGTTATGGACGGGCATGCAGGTGTAGGTACGCAATATGTCACCACCCGGGGGAACATCGAAGTTCCGGCTCCTGCGCTGTCAGTTGTGCCGTTCGCGCCACCCCCCACGCCATCGGGAGGCACCCACACCCCAAGCTTTGGATCGATGCTTCCCTGCCTCCCCGTCTACTAGCTTGCACCTACCTCAGCCTCTCTGTCTTTGAAGGTAAGTTTTCTCTTAATCTGACAGGAGCAGCGGCAGGGCAAGACTGGCAAGTCAGAATCAGGAGCCTTCCGTCAATAGGAGCTTTGAAAGACTATTCTCATTCCCTCAAATACTACCAGCGGATATTCTCAAGTTTCCTCAAAGCTCAAAGTCTCTGCACAGGTCTTTAGCTAGAAGTCTAGGACTTGTGATCCAGTGTGGCTTGGACTACGGTATTTCAGAGAATCCCATCCCAGAAATCCCATTCTAGTCGCGATCGCATTTCGATGCGCCGTTCAGAGGTATTCCACTGACCCGATTTACCGCGAGTAGGCCGATTCCCATTGTGGTCTGAAATCTCCTCGATCGTGGAATGAGTGGTGTGGCTTGTCTGCATCGTGGCTTTGTCCTATGTTGCTGCCAGTTGACGACCCAAAAGCAGGGGGGCGCGTCGATGTCATGCAGCCCTGGGCTGCTTGAAAGTACGTCCGTGTCATCGTACATCATCTTCGTGGTAGGCTTTGAGGCCAAAGTTTGCTCAAGGTACTCGAGTAAAGAAATACGCAATTGCGTACGGCCGAGAGTACGCGGGGGAATGCCTCGGCGCGTAAAGTCCTCATTAATTCAGCCTTGAGTAAATGTGATATGCCATGGACTGAACAGTGAAAGAGGGGCGTCTTCTTCTCATAATCCTGGCGCATTCGGGTCTGGACTCGTGTTCCGAAGTCTATCAAGTCTCCCAGAGGGCCGAAGGCCACATCATCCCGTTCGAATGACCGCTTCACCGCTCTCTGGCTCCCCTGTCTCTTGGTGCCCGAGCTGGTTCATGCGATGCTCTTATGACCACCTTCTGCTGGCAGAATCGCCAGTTCGCGACACTAAAAAGCCCCGGCCGCATGCACCCTTTGTTCAGTTTCTTTGTTCTCATGCTTCTACAGCTGGCTGTGCAGCCCACTGTGTCGCAATAGGGGTGGGCCCACAACTTGTCGCGTGCGGCACAGCACATATTAGAGCGTTCGCCAGGCCAGTTCCTTCACCACTTATTGTGGCTTACAGCAAGTTCACTCAGTTACTACTTCCTAATGAGGTATGTCATGGGAAGTATGAGGATAGCGGCATATGCTCACGTTTCATACTACTGACATTGCCCACCTTCTGCCAGGCATCTAGTTCCTACTGCTATGATGTTACCTCAGTCGGCGTTTAGAGACTTGGCTGGAATAAGGTTTGCAAAGTTGCAACCAACATGATCAACCCGAAAAGGTGTAGTTTAGCCACGCAATTGTGAGTATTTCTCAAAACTCTTGAGGAGCATGTAATCGATACGCGTTGTGGGAATAGTTAACCGTCAGATGGGTACACACTTAGCGATTATTTCCTCCAAAACCCAACGCTTGCTTCTTCAGAGCCAAGATATACAACTTCCGAGCAGGCGTTCAAGATTGTGTCAAGGCAACAGGAAGTGTGGGCCGGCCGGCGAAACGGCCGTCGTGGTGCATACGCCGGTGGCAAAAGTCTTGCCAAAGCTGCCAAAATCAACGAATCGAAAAACCTATCACTTATGATTTAGCCCCCAAAGACCAACGCATTCGCGAGATCCACCCCATCTTGCATCTTAGCCATCCAAGAACCAGCATACGGCGTTTTTCGCACATTTCGCCTTCTTCTAGCCCATATGAGGAGCTCTGTATATTGTGTAACCACCCTCCAAAGCGCGGAAGCGCGAGAAGCTCACCCGGCGCAATGCAAAGCCGGGCATCTTCGGCAGCGGGAGCAGTTTCTGGCGCTTGACGTGTGTCGGTGTCCTCTTTTCTTCTCGCGCGGATGCAGTCTTGTTTACCCACGCCACACATCTGATCCTACCTTACCGCCGTTTACCTGCATACATCTGCTCATGTAGGCACGACATGGTGGTTCCGTCTCCCCCGGACGCCGCTGAGGAAACACTACAGGTGCGTTCGTAACAAGAACCCGGAGTTTCGGAGAGCGACCTGTGACCTCCCTACCCCTGCGATATGTCACCTCGAACTGTTCAACTGGCGTAAGGCGGACCGAGAGGGAGGGCACGGTAATTAGGCTTCCTCGAAATGTAAATTTCAACCACACTCTGACTACTCATTCATTCTCGCGGATCAACAGTCCTAGATTTAAAGACTCTTTCTCTCTCTCATCTTCGTCTTACCTACTAGCTATCGTTGCACGCTCTCCATCTCTTCTCTCCTCTCAAGGATCATCCCATCTTTCAAATCAACTTTTAGAAGTTTACTCTTCAACACATCGTCTCTCATCTACACTACCGCATCAATTTTCAGTCATGGCGTTGTCGATAGATGTCCAACTTTCATCTTCAACGTGAGTACTGCTCCCTTACTTGTACTCTTATTCCCTGCGCCTTCTTATCGTTCTCTACGTTTCCATTTTACGGTTATTCTGAATACCATGGCGATGACCTATCGGGTATGCGGTACTGACTCTGGGACAGTACTGGCGTTCAGAGATCTAGACTAGCGAATGCAGAGGAAACTCGCTCCCAACGTGACGTGCGGTACACGATGTTCAGAAACGATCATGCATTGTCAGTTGGCCTAGGCTTTACTTCAACGCGGCCAACTTCACAAGTATCCTCTACGACTGCTGCCGTCACCCGACTCAACCTCGGTTACGGAGTCTCAGTCCGCTCCGGAGGCGCTGTCGGGCAACCTCTCAACAACGTACCAGCCAACCTACGCGGCGCTGGTTCACAGTTCTCAGATTAAGGGTTCAACGGCAGCCACTGGTCTGGCACCATGTGCTACCACACGTTTCCTGCGTGTGGCTGCAACATGCAACGGTGCCTTGGATCGGTCAGTGGTGGTGGATTGACTCTGATCTAGATCCTGGCGTGGGGGCTTGTCTCGAATGGGAAAAGCCCTCGGAAAGTACCGAGTTGGTGGTGCGCGGGAGCGGACGCATGCCCGCTCCGAAAATCGGTGGATCCCGTCTGGAGGAAGACACGGCCAATTTTCTGGGATGAGTGAAACAATTGAGCTGGAAAAGCGACAATGGGATTACATAAGTTTTCTCTCGACGCACTTCGATATGCGGTTGATTGGCGTTGAAGGAAAAAGGAAGCAATCTGTTGCGCCAATGCGCCGCGATCGAGATTGAGAGACGACAGGAACAAACCAAGCAGCTCGAGTAAGGGTCCGGCTGTGGTTTTCTACTAGGTTCTGCGCATCGCGCCGGCTGCACGATTGAAGCGGGTTTGGGCATGGGAATGGTGACAATTGGATTCGGGGCGTTTGGACCAACTATAGTAAAGTTGGATGGCACCTGCCTCAACGTGCGCCGGTTGCACCGGCGCACAACTTATTCTTGCTTTGGCGGGGTTAAGTTGGGGTGGGGAGCCCAGTATATCATTCACATTATATACCTTATCACTTTGAATATCCTTACATAAGCTATTAGATAGTCTAGATAGACGAGCGATGGGGATACCCTTCTCATCCATCGGCATTACAATTGATTGTTGTCGACAGTGCCCAGCTTTCCAGTTTCTTTCATCCATTCATGGTCTCTGTGGGATTATCCTTGAGATGATCCACGTCCAAGAGGGCCGTTTCGTCCCAATTTGGCGCGATACCCGCCAAACCTTGTGCACGGACAAGAGTCTAAAGAACGGACCGGACCCGTCTTTCATCTGAATGAATCGACTTTATTTTGACTGCGCATGTCGTTGACGGAATAAGTCGTCGGAATCAACTTCGAGATACGGTCGCAAAGTGATCCAAATTGATTCCTGAGGCACAATCTCAAAACGCCGCATAAGTCCGGTAAGGCCAGCACTTGCCCCGTTTTCCGACTCAACCGCTGGTAGGTGCGCAAGGCAATTAGGCAGGCGTTGAGCACGTGAGAGGCAGCCGCTAGTGACTCTGGCGAACCGGAGATTGGTTCGCGAAAGATGCGGCTGATCATGACACGCAGGCGGGCGAGGAACATGAACGCATGGAGAACTTGAGGTGCGTTGTTTCCCGGGGGGGGGGGGGGGAAGGGGGTGGTAAGTGCAGCTGTGAAAATTTTTTCTCATTCCGAATTGACCAGTGGACGACGGATGGCCCTGAGGATTCAGAGACAGCCACGTATACCTGGGAGTCGAGTCCAATGGCAGGTATCAGGCGCGCGAGGGCGCGCGCCCGTTCTGCACCCCAAATTTCTACTTTTGCGTGCATACGACACTGCGACAGGTGAGACTGCAGCATCCAATGCGAATGCTGAAAAGAAAAAACTCTTCAATCGCTGGGGCTGAGATTGATCAGGATCTTTCCCGTGGGCGGCGGGGTTGTAGCAGATTGCAGAATTTGCTGAAAGTGGCTGAGATTGGGAGTGATAGACGACTGGTGATTGAGGAGGTGTCAGACGGAAACAATGATAAAAAAAATGTTTGCTCACCCTGACGAGGGCTGGCACGCCTGGCTAGTTGAGGGGCTCGAGCGGTGCCTGAATTGCTTCGTCGCTGCGCGTAGCTGCGCCTCAAAGAAGTCGGTGCCGTGAAGAGGAAAGAATGGGGCTGTGCTGGTATGAAATGTTGCGTATCCCGCTCATAGAAAGAATTGTGGCTGACGCAACCGGGCGAGGGCTTAGGTGGGAGAATGACGAAGGGGAGGGACTGGCTGGCGGGCACCTGCCGCATCAAAAGTATCGTCCAAATGACCGGGGAAGTAGGTAATCACAGGACAAGCAGAAACCGACCAGGTCCAGACCGCATCGAACTATTCGAACAGCGAACGTTGCTGGAGCAAGCAGCCAGATTGGCCGGAGCTGGGGAGAGTTCAGATACCGGAAGTCCTCCGTAAGCAGCGGGCAAGTCCTTTGCCTCATCCCCGAGATATTACCAACATCTCATATATTATAACAGAGCAGAGCGGATTTAGGCCTGGGTGATGATCACAGAAAAGCTTGCCTGGCCGGACGAGCATATCCCTGGGCCGGTAGCCTTGAAGAGCCGACCGAAGGTTGTCTGGCTGTGACTCGATGAGCGGACATCAATTCGTGCGTCTGGAACCTTACCCAGTTGAGGTGGCTTGCAATTGATTCGGCAATGAAACACGCCGAATGAACCAGGCATCAAGCCGCTTCTCACAAGCGCAAAGAAGCGAGGAGGACGCTCGCCGACGACACCATGCTTTTGGATGGGTTGGGGGAACATGTGCCGCGCGCTGGGTGGTGGAGTTTGGTGATCGAGGAATTTGGTGTTAGGTACCCAAGCAGGTACCTTCATAAAGCGCCAAATGATGGGAGTGGAGATTGTGGCACTGGCTTCTGGGGACTGGCAACACTGTCACCTCTTCTGGTCATCCCATCGTGATGGCCTGCGTCAAGGCCTTTCCCGGTGGAATATTAGAGTGAGGAACTATGGGTACATCACGTCGCCGCAATCTCAGGTACAGGGTTCCATGACGGACCAGGTATTGACAGGTATCCGTAAGTCCCTAAGGTGCGTAGGCAAAAACCGCCCGCCACATTCAAGGTACATCGCTCCATCAGAATTTCGCCGAACGAGATGAGATGGTCATCGTCAGAGTACCGCCCGGGATGGTCGTCGTCAGAACATCGTTCGAGATGGCCCTGGTTAGAGCACCGCACCAGGATGGCGCTGCCCGTCAGTTTCCCTGGCTTCTGTGTACCCCGGCTTTCCCGGCCGGGCAGGCACAGTTCTGGCCATGCCTCATCAAAACGAAAGCCTCCGCTTGTGTCAAATGGAGTAATAAGGTAGATCCGTGTCGCCGCGCATCACCTTGTTCTGATCTGCTGCCAGCCGCCCCCTCCATCACCCTGCACCTCAAGCTATGTGTCTGAGCTTGGTGACCCGATCAGGCTAGGTCACAAGAAGTTAAGGGTAGGACCACACGGAGCCAGGTACGATACGATACCGGGCGAGGAAATTTCAAAGCCGATTTTCAGAAAAAAGAAACCATGGATACCCAAGGCTGTTTCGTGCCTTGAAGTACGGATACATTGATACATTTTTCTCTTGCGCTAGGTGTTATTCTTCAATCGTGATCACCCTCGTCGGTCCGTACCCAGGGACATCCTCGCGCCGATTCCTGACCGCGATCTTACCCTACGTTATGGATTTCTGACGCCGTCAAGACGGGAGCTGCGTGCGAGCTACTACCGCCTAGCTGCACATGACGGCGGGGAAGCTTGATCAGTCAGCGATGGGTACAGGTACCGTCAGGTCCTGACCGCACCCGCCCCCCAACCCTGGGCGCTGGCTCTTTCCTTCATTCCCAAATTCTTCAGTTTTTGTCTGGCAGGTGCCAGGCCCCTTATCCGGATGACCGTGATTTTTGCTTGACCGCGCAGTCTCACCTCTCCCCATTGCGCCGCTATCCTCCCGCTTCCTACCTCACCTTTCTCGTTAGGTAAGCTCCATGTCACTTGCCTCTTTCCCTTTTCTTTTTTACAGCATTTCAACTTTGCACGTCAAATTCCTAGTGCATCAGGTGTCAGAGGGAATAAGACCTTGCATTCCCATTTGCTTACTTTCCTCTTCTCTCCCATCCGCCCCCCGTGTCAACTCACCAGCATCGTATGCCACTTGGCGTTGTTCAGAAATCTCTAGACGCACACCTTGCGAAGCCCTTTCGCCTTGCGTGACGGTCTTCAACTTGAAGTAAGATCAGGTACCTACCGTAAGGAAACTCAGCCAACCGCAAATGCCAACTGACAAGGGGAGGAGAGAGTGGAGGTGAGGTATTGCCATGAAACTGGAAAGGGTATCCCTGCAATTGCCAATGTGTGTATCCATTTGCAAGGTGCGAAAGAGGTGGAAGGACGGAAGAACAGAAACAAAAACGAAAAGGAACCATCCGTCTGGCCCAGAGCTTGGCAACGTGCCGTGTGAAAATGGGGAGTTGATCCAGAGTCCCAAACAGTAGAACACTAAGGCAGGGTTCCAAGGTTAGGTCCCTGTGCAATGTAAGATCCTCACAGAGAGGGCCAGGGCACCCAGCGCCAGCCAGGTCTGACAGGTTGGGCGACCTGCACGATACAAGCTAATATTGATCTACACATTTGGATACGTCTGTACATTGCCTACTCTAGTTCCCACACCCCCCCCCTCCCCCCAAAAAAAGAAAAAAAAAGAAAAAACACGACTTTTGACTGTTAGTGTAGAAGCCTCCGAGCGGAGCCATGACCTCACTGGCCCTTGCTTAAGGTAGAGAGAGCTATATAGATAAACTTGGTCTTGGATTTAAACATAAGGTAAGGTCCGCCTTAGCAGTGTCGAGGTCGTCGTCCCATACCAAATGAGGTGATGTGAATGTGGATTACGTGTGTGACGGGAGGCTAAGGGACGTGGGGTCCTGGCTTTTTTCTTTTTCAACCGTGTGTGGAAACTTGAAGGAGAGAGGCGTCCTTTACCTGCCCGGCCGGTCGTGCAAGCATGGAATGTCCATCACTGAGATACATGCACGTGGGAAAGTGCTGCTGTCTGCTACTAGCGCCGCCAGCAGGCAAAGAGCCAAGTAGTGAACGTTATGAAGCGGAAACATACACGTAGAGGGTCCATGGAAGAAGCGGCTTCTGCTTTACGGTCGGCATGGTATGCCTCCCCTCTCCGCTTATCATCAGCACCTTGGCCCCCTTGGGCGCGAGAGGAAAAGTACACCTAGAGGTGACCGATGACCAAATCTTCAACGGAGCGGCAGAGTGGAAGCGAAACAAGCATACCTTACGTACCTTACCTTGCGTTGTGGAGGGCGGATTCGTGCCCTGGGCATTTGCATGTCACTTTCGAGTCTCGGGTCGCGGGAGTCTCATCCCCCCTAAGGGAAGCACGTAAGGCAGTGGAGATAGATGGGTAGTTAACAAACAGCTCCCACCCTCCCCCCCGAGGAGATCACCTTGACCGGGACTAGAGCCTGCGTTATTTGAGGAGAGGCCCTGTTTGTAAGTCGGATAGCTGTGAGCTCGTAAACTTTTGAGGGGCGGCAGACCCGCCAGGCGGGTTCCTGGCGGCCCAGGGATACCTTACTGGAAGGCAGAGTCCCCTCCATCACTGAGTTGAGGTGGACTTGGGGTAACTCCCCCGCCGTCGGCCAAGACCCTGCCAAACTTGAACCCAGAGCCAGAGATGGCAGACACTTGCACATTGGCCCTCCTTGGCGTTGACAGCACCCGTGCCTGTCCTGGGCTCCTTGCGACTTTCCCGCCGTCACTCACCCAACATTACCACCACCAAAAACCACCACCACCACCACCACCACCCGCGTGCCATTTCTGCCTCCTTCGCTTTCCACCACCGCCATCTTTTCCTTACTACTTACCTACCTACCTCGCACTTTCTCTGGCCTCCCTCAGGCTCTTTCCTCCTTCAAGACGTTTAACTTTTGCAAGTAAAGCTTCTGTTACATTGAATACCAAAGCAAGATTTAATCTCGAGTCACTATCCAAGGTTGTCTCTTCCTCACAACTTCCTGACACCACAAGCAACCTCACCCGGTAAACATTACGACATTTCTACGCCCAGCCAGTCTGCTGCTTCGTGGAAACTTGAATGGCTCCAGGATCATTCTACCCATCGCACCAACACACACATTCACTTGCAAGCGCACCTTGACTTACCTTGCAATCCGCACCGCAACGCCGAGGCGAACAAAATCCAGCATGGCCTCTGTCGCAGCCCAGCAAGGCTCAGCCAGATCGTAAGTACCAGATCTCGTTCTTGCACTCCACCGTAGCGCTGCACCGCACGCTACTCCATGAGCACCATGGCTTTTTCTTGGTATCTCAGCATCCCTCCCCAAATCCAGCTCTACGCCGCCTCGCGGGCGAGCATGCCATGCCGCCTCGTATGTGGAGGCATGGCATTCGCTCATTTCTAGAGCTCTACCGCCGTGGTGAGCAAGTATGCCATGCCGCCTCGTATGTGGAGGCACGGAATTCATAGTTTCCTGGGGCTTTAACACCATCGTTTGCCAGATTCGCGCCCTGAGCAAAGCTGTCCTGGGTCTCGCGGGTTCGCAGGATTGCGTGTGGATCTGGACCCAGCGCTCCTAGGCCAACTCGGCGTCAGGCGTGCCACGGCTTGAGTCTTGTGCTGGCAAGTGGTTCCATATCATCCACCACCAAGTCCCCTACCTCGTATCTTATTCATTCGGTCGGTTGCGTCGTGGTTCGGCTTGGCTAACATCGAGGTTGCTTAGGGGCACATCGGGAAACCAGCTCTCTCAAGAGGAAAGAGCTAGGACTGGGGCTGGGGATCGCCTCCGGGATTTCGAGCAAGACATTGACCTTGAGTTGGTGAGCAGCGATCATGCTGGGAGCCGCGAGCGACAAGGAAGCCGAATCGAGCGTGACATTGATGCAGTCATGTTGGTTGACCAGCTCATTCCCCACGGCGCAGGGGCTGTCGATGAAGGAGCTCAGCCCAATGATGGTCAGGCGGAAGACCTTCGAGGTGTTGGGTCGCAATTCTCGGAATAGTGTTGCGGTCGCCCTGAGAGCTAAGTCAGTGTCGGCCGCAATACTGTACCAAGGTGTCGCGACTCCTCCTCATCATTCTGGTTGCACCAAGCTGCCCGCTCATCTCATCCTTTGGCAAGGCGAATGTATGTGATGACATGGTCCGTGCGCGAAAGCTTGCAGGGGTGGCCTCGCTTCCGAGGTCGGCCGGAAGCCCCACCCCTTTCATGCCCCATAATTGAGGCATCAACACCAAAACAAGGCCGGTCTTCGGGAAGAACCGCGGATCGTGATGAAGAGATGGAAACGAAGAAATGAGAGCGAGCGAGCGAGCGATATGAATGGATTCTCTTTGTTGTTTTTTCTTCCTGTGTTCAAAGAAGGATGCGTGGCTATCTCATGATGTTGATGAGAGGGACCTGTCTGAGAATCGCATGTTGGAGGGGATGCCGGGGATGTGATCGAGGAGTTTTGCATTTTCTTTCGAGTCTGTGTCATGATCTTTTCTGCGGAGTATAGCGTGACTTTGTGATATTGTGCTTGGGATATCGGAAGTCAGGGCCTAAGCCATTTGTGACGCATGATCGCTGTGGATAGACTCTCATGAGGTGGTTGGGGTTTCCATCTAGACTTCTAGAGGGTATGGATGAAAACGAGGAAAAAGAAGGGGGAGAAGGCAGATGCGAGATGTAATGGAAGCTTGAGTACGGAGTAGGTAGTAGGAAGATGAAAACAAGATGTTGGAGGAGAAAACTGATTGCAGTGACAGAGATGCCAGGTCATCTAATTGTAATCTGAGGGGGATGCCCTACCTCAGTGGTAGCCAATGAGAGGCCATATCTCGCGTCGCCTAAGCCATCCTCGGCGCCAGGAATCTTAAGCCCGACGCGTCCAACCTCAGGAGCGTTTGCCTTTGAGGCATGGATAAGGTAGGCATTTACCCTTCAAAACCAATCATGTTGCCGTTTCCTTTCTTTGATGATCCATAACCCTCATGTCACGATGGTTCTTTCAATGCTCAGCGCAGTACGGATACCGATTCTACGGCCTCTGATGCCTCAACCACTGCGATATGATGACACTCCTTTTCTGCTTAATCACACGATTCATATTCATAAGCTGTTAGCTTGTACACTTTATGATGGGATTCGAGATCTAACACGTCCCGAATGGAAAAAGTGATAGGTATATATCGTATATCCCGAGCTCAAATAACAAGCATCATCATGGCAAGTCAATGCTCAGCAGCACAGGCTCAACCGACTACACATTTCCTTCACATTTCTCATGCCCCTTTTGACGATGTCTGGCATCATCTCGTGATCTCTGAAAGATACCATCAAACCATTTCTGAATCTGCTCCGCTCCGTCATGACCAACCGGAGTAACAAGCCCAACATACCCATCCGGTCGCAACCCAACAACAGCACCTTTACCCAAATCAATCCCATACTTCTCATATGCCCTCTCAGGCTCCTCATAAAACGTCTTCCCATCACTAAACACCTTGTCATAATCCCACCCAAGCTTACTATCAAACGGGTGATACGCCTCATGCACGTCCCGCAACAAATCAATCTCGCCCCTGGGGGCAGAGTGCACGAGCACAACATCAACAATACTCGGAGCCGCGTCCGTCTTGAACTTGATCTGCCCGCTATGCGGATCCGACGCGGGACCTAACGCGATGGTCGGCAACTTGGGCAGGTAGCTCGACAGCCACGCGCCGAGGGCGTTGACGGTGTCGCGCTGGGTAGGTTGGGAGATGTCGCCGCCAAAGACTACGAGACGGAAGCGCCCGTTTGAGGGGAGCTTGTGGTGCAGTTCCCACAGGCGGGCGTCGGATTGGCGGATTACCTTGTATGAGGGGAAGCGCTGGCCGAGTTTGCAGTTTGTCGCCAGGGATTGGGTGCTCTTTGCGGCGCTCTTTGCGAGGGTGTTGGGCAAGTCGTCTTCGGTTTCTTGGTCTGCGTCTGCTTCTTTGGCGACGAGGACTGTTGGTTGGTAATTTACGCCGACGCCGGTTGTGAACTGCGATACTCTACGTCAGCTTCATCGTCGCGCTCACTCAACCCCCATCTCAACACCGAGAACCGGAGAAAGACTGGGAGTGGGTGTTGGTACATACCATCCGACTAGTATGGAACGCCTTCTGGAATACGTCTTCCGACACGCCCGTTTCGCTTTGGATATCCTTTGGCGGCGCACCCGTGAAGAGCTTGGAGAACTTGCCGTCAAAGGCGATGAGGTCCTTTGCAATCTTCTTGCGCTCGAGCTCGTACGTCGAGAGGACGTCGCGCGGCAGGATGTTCTTGCACGCGAGGCCGATCTTCCAGCCGAGGTTGTAGCTGTCCTGCATCGAGACGTTCATGCCCTGGCCAGCTTTTGGGGAGTGCGTGTGCACGGCGTCTGGATCATATGATTCAGCTCCTGAAAGGATGGATGAAGGCTAAAGCTATGGGAGTTTTGCTTACCTCCCGCGAGGAAGACGCGATTGAGTTTGCTGAAGTGGTCGCCTGTTCGCTGACCGATTTGGTAGGCCGTCCACCTAATAGCACGTCAGCGCCCATCCGCCGCTGCAAAAAAAAACTTTTGTCGAACTCACCAGTCGCAGTAGTGGTACTCCAGCTTGTATGGGCTGAAGATTCTTTGCGCAGACTTGAAGATGATCTCTGGCGTGATCTGCGACCGGTCGACGCGGCCACCGCCCGCGGAGACCTCCTTGAGTTGGATGTAGAGACGAACCATCCTGTTCTCGCGGGGGATGATCATCAGCGCGCCGGCGGTGTTTTGGATCATGGTCCGGAACCTGATGTCGGCTGTTTCAAGTTAGCATACTGCATCTCTATGGTAGATGTGAGAACTTACGGAAGTCGGTAATGGGAACAATATCCATCACACCCCTGGAATTCACCGTCAGCTCAAAACCTCACCACCTCATCTCACGCTCACTCACCAAATAGCATCAGTACTCTCCCCCTTCATCTCAAACTCCTTCCCCAGCGCCTTCCTAGTCCACGAGTGCGCCCCATCACAGCCAACAACATACTTGGCCCTCACAACCTCATCCCTCGCCTCTCTTCCCTTGGACCGATCCAAAATCCCCGCGACATCGTCCTCGGCAAGATTACTCCGGAAGATGCCATCGCTAAGATTGCTCAGCATCTGCGTCGGCGTCGCCTCCTGCTCTGTCAAGTGCCGCAGCGTGACCGTGACAGGGTGCGCCTCCGGATCCGGGTCTTCGGCTGCCGCCTCGTCGATCTCGAGCGAGGTCGGGATGACCATGCGCTCCACCTGTAGTGGTGTCTCGTTTGACGGGTACGAGGCGCGGATGCCGTCGATGAAGAACTGCTCGATGCGCCCCTGGTGGAGGACAGATTCGGTGAAGCGGGAGAGGCCTGGGATTGTGTTCACTGATTTGGCGCTGCGCTGGATCGTGCCGTTCTCGTCGGGGTTCCAGAAGCTGACCTCTGCGGTTGGTGTTAGTGAGATCTACCGAGGTTGTGAGGTGAGGTTGCGCGTACCGAGCATGCGGTTTGCTTCTTTCCATACGCGCTCTGCGACGCCGAAGCTGTCTAGGATCTCCAGGGATCTCACTTGGAACCTGTGATATATGTGAGTACTTGTCATGTCATACAGGTGGCCGATATTCTCACCCGTCTGCTTGCCCAGAGTAGACCTTGGCGGTCCTCTTATCAACGATACGGGTCTTGACACCGAGTCTGGACAACCAGAGAGCCAGCATAAGCCCAGCAGGGCCAGCCCCGATGATGAGGACATCGACCTTGCTTTCTGGAAGCTCAGTCATGTTATGCACTACCAGGAGTTCAGAGATTCAGTACAACAGTAATGAGAAGCAGGTGAAGTAGAGTGATCAAGATGTAGAGCAGATGAGTTCGGCTAGTAGCATTTTAAGAGTACTAATTCATATGTTAAATATCGCAAGCTTTAATTTCCCCACGATTTCGGGCGGATTTATCCCTCGCGGGGGCAAGTCCACGGATTAAAGCTTCTTCGGAACATCATCTTGAATGTGTGTAGCACGATTGGACGACCAACTATCTGCAGAAAACTGCCGCTGGGGGCTAATGTTCTGGAGGAAATAAGCGATGAGAAAGCATGACAAAGAGGGGGAGGGGCCGAAGGGAGGGGCACAATTGGGGACCTCGACCCAAGGTAACTCACGGACGTCATCGGGGGATGTGGGGTAAATCCCCAATGCAGGGACTCCATCAGTTTACTGCTACTAATGTAAGTACTTGGGTACTTTGTAATGCGGCCGCCCTGAATGGACTGCCACACTGCATCAGGCTGCACTTCATCTCAAGACACACATGGCATGCGCGGGACGGTGTGTGCGTGCCACACATGTACGGACGGGAGTGCCTAGAATGTGGGTGCAAGCCGCCGCATTCTAGCTTTCCTTGTGGAGGGGTGCATTCCCGTAATTCCGCTGTGTCAGCGGTAGGTATCTACCTAATGCGCCATTCATAGGTACGGATATCGGGACGCCTCTGCTTATGACCTTACTTACACAATAAGTGTCTTGCAGCCCACCGGCTACGGTTATCTATAGTTTCTGCGCCACAAAGTCAGATAACTAAACCTCGAACCTTTTCGCAGGGTATCGGTAGAAGATATCCGAATTATCTCTTTCACTCAGCACCCGGGCCCGCCCGCCCGAGATCGCGCCGGACTCTCCACACCCTCGACCCCACGGGACGCTTCTCGTGGCCCTGAAGGACCTCGATCCACGGCGTGTCGCTAACATCGCCAGCAAGCTCGAGACTTTCGGGCTCCTCATCTGACTTGTCGCTTTCCGTATCTTCGTCCATGACTTCCACCGTGTCATACTTGGAGTTATCTACATCACTGCCGTTGAAGGACTGGTAGTATAGGTCTTCCGTGTACGCCCACCCGGGGGAGTCGAGCTTGCCGTGAACTAGCATCAAGTGGTGGCCCGCTGCTTTGGCTGCTTCAATACGCTCCAGGGGTATCGGTGTGAGGATCTGGAGAGCGCCGGTCTTTGTGTCGATGCCTCGTAGTAACACCTGGCCCAGAGTTTGCGCATATCGTGGATCCAGAGTTTGCGCATCGGTATTCGGGATATATGGGATTCCCTCAGGCGTCCTGG